AATTATCTGGGGGCTAGCATATCGGTTATCCAGGGGCTAGCATAACAGTTATCCAGGGCTGGCATGACAGTTATCCAGAGGCTATCAGAAAAGTTCTCGGGGGCTGTCATAACAGTTATGCAGGGCTATCACAACAGTTATCCAAGGCCTATCATAGCAGTTATCCAGGGCTATCATAACAGTTATCCAGGGCTATCATAAAAGTTTAGCTGTGGGCTATCACAACAGTTATCCAAGGCTTATCATAACAGTAATCCGGGGGCTAACATAACAGTTGCCCAGGGGCTATCATGACATATCATAACAATTATCCCGGGGCTATCATAGCAGTCATCACCAGAAATTTCGGGGGAGACCCGTCATGACCGTTCTGGAGGCTTTTGTAAATGTTATGATGGGGCTCTTCGTGCTTTCCGGGCAGAGGCCTGGGGAGCCCCATCATACGTAACAGTTTCGGAAGCCTGAGTAACTGTTCTGATGGGCCTCGATGCGTCCCTAATAACTGTCACGATGGGCCTTTGCAACTCTTATGATGGGTCCCTAATAACTGTTCTGACGGGCCTTCGTAACTGTTATGATGGGTCCCTAATTACTGTTATGATGGGCCTTCGTTACTGTTATGATGGGTTCCTGATAACTGCTATGATTGGCCTTCGTAACTGTTATGTTGGGTCCCTAATAACTGTTATTATGGGGTATACGCGTGCCCCCTCTAAAGAGACCCCCCTTAATGCTCTTACACGCAGCCCCTAAAATATAAAGTACTAGAAGTGTTGTCTCATACCTATCAATACCAAAATATCTCAAATGCAGACGAAGAGTTTATCTCTCATGAAAATCTTGGCGCTTGCATAGGATCATACACAGCTTGGAGCGCTTGCCTTGTGCTTCTAGCCTGCGCCCACGCTGCCAACACAACTTTGATGACCAATTTAACTTGACAAAGACCTCCTAGATGGATAGGAACAAAACACATGCTCTTTCCTGCCTCGGACAAGTCTAGCGCATGGTAAAAAGACCTGATAGACTGCCGCAAAGCAAACGGCAATCACCCTGAAACCCGGCTAAGCTTCCCACTCCCGATTGGCTCTCTCACTTTGGCGAACGCGCCTGGGAGCGGCGCAGTCATCTATCAGCACACGACCGCGAAACAAATGATCATCATCCCCCAAACTGAATAAGCTTCCCGCTCATCAATGCGCACATCTTGTCGAGGAAGCCTGGAAGCCGCAATATCATGCAAGAAGACCGCTGCAAAGCACATGGTCATCAAGCGCACTAACTGACTAAGCTTCGCACCCATCGTTGGGCACATCTTGCCGAAAAGACCTGGAAGCCGCAGCATTACGCGTGCACGCATACAGCCAAAAAGTACATCGCCATCACCCCAACACTGACTAAGTTTCCCGCTCATCATGTCATTCTGTGGAGGGGGCCTGGAAGCTGCAGCATCGTGCATGCAAACGAGCTGTTACAAAGCAAATGGTCATCAACACCCAAACTGACTGAGCTTCCCGCTCATCACTGAGCGCATCTTGCCGAGAAGGCCTGGAAACCGCAATGTCATGCAAGAAAAGACCCACCGTTGCAAAGCACATGGTTATCAACCCCCAAAACTGACTAAGCTTCGCACCCATCGTTGGGCACATCTTGCCGAAAAGACCTGGAAGCCGCAGCATCACGCGTGCACGCGTACAGCCAAAAAGTACATCGCCATCACCCCAACACTGACTAAGTTTCCCGCTCGTCATTGGGTCCAGCTTGTCGAGGAGGCCTGGACGTCACGCATGAACGCGCATGGACGGAAAATGAATGTTATCAAACTGCAGCATCATGCATCGGCCCGCACTGCCGCAACTGCCTAAAGCATATGACAATCGCCCACAAACTGACTAAGCTTCCCACCCCCCATTGGTTCTTGCATCTTGCGCAACATGCCTTGAGGCAGCAATTCTCTGGCAGTATATCCATTTTCTCTGCAGCCTAGCCCTGGCACGGGCATAAGATATCAGAAAATATGTGCGCATACGCAAGTGAGGTCTGCACTTTGCTTCTGCCGCCTGCGCTTGCAGCAATCAAGAGAATATTTCGACAGCAATCATGGAAAACCTTTCGACAGGACAATGCCGCAACCAAGAAGAAAGACAGATTATTGACATCCACACGGCCTGCTTATACCGGTGCAATCCCAAGAACAGCTCGTCGTGGAGATTGCTCATCTTCGGACCTCGTTTCAACTTTTCGAATCAATCTCGTCAATTGCGAAAGAGGCAGTCGTAATACAATGGATCTTGGAACAAAAACTCATTTCCTCCCAGGACATAGATGCTGAGAAACGGACTGAAGCTAAGGCGTCCGGTCGGTCACGGTGTCGAGCTTGATCCAAACGCATGCAAAACTTGTTCTGTACTGTGGCACCCGGCCATACAGTCTCTTATAATCCTACACGATTCATGAAATTCAGTGCACGTGGCGGTCTTCCCAAATCGGCTAAACTTTATCCTCAAAGATGGCCTCAAAGATTTTCTGGTACATACAAGCGTTCTTTGCAAGGCATTCTACTCATATCTACTCATTCACTTTCTGACTCAATCTTAGACATGCTTCAGGGTATAGCACCCACGGGTGACGCATTACGTTCTTCACAAAATCAACATTAAACTATCAAAACTTAATGCAATGATTTCCGGAACCCACCCTCCTATTTTCGAACAATACCAGCCCTTTTTTGGAAATAACCATCAGTAATCATTACAATTGGATTATCTCCGGTCCATGACAAAAAGCAAAGGCAATACGATAACATGTTCTGAAAATGAAGCACGAAATTGAGAAGTGCGATCTTGAGGAATGCGGCGAGGCTCAACAACAAACAATGCCAGCTCGTCGCTGTTGCTCATGTCTCAAAAACCTCCAGGCACTGCGGTCTAATGGTCACTCCCAGGCTTGAAGGCTTTTAGATTGTCATTGAAATTTGGAGACCACCTTTTTCTCAGAATGTTCTGATCTTCAAAGTTTGGGAGAACCGCAAGTTCCAAATGTACGAATGGCCGCTGGTTACCGGACTTGCCAGCAGCACAGCTTATGTGTGTGGAAACCACAGCATATACAGCATTGCAAATTTGAGGTGAATAAGTGAAAGGGTACCCAAATGCTTTACAATGTCACCTTGATGCTGGTAAAATTACAACTGGTTCAAACTGCAGGTTTGCGCATGCAGTTGTTGAACCCTTGCGAAGCGGGCCACGATGTCTTTCTCACCATGAAATTTACAATCAGGCACATGCACATGTCAAGCACAGCTGGTTGAAGTGGGTTTCATATCTCATCACATAGGCTCCAGCAATGGGCTATGTGAATAGCAGCGTTTACAGGCTATCGGCTAAGGATGGCTTACGGTCCTGCATTGTTTTCTTGAGCATGCATACGCACATTCATCAAAACTCCATGTGGCAAATTTCAGCTTCATAATTCAGATACAAATAGGCATTGCTCAAATCCATTACTCGAGCATAACAAATAATGATGCGTTCCAAGTACATAGAACACACTCACTTCACACGTGCTGGATGGCAGTTTGCATGAGTGCTAACACAGTGTAAGCACGAACACATACACAAACGTTGCATGGTAACATGAAGCGCTGGCAAAACGCATGCACCCGACCAGGGTAAATTAAAGGAAGGCATGTCCAATCCCAATCCAACAAGGACGATGGTGACGATCGACAGGAACAAAGACAAGCAGGGAAGGGCGGAACAAAAATCTGAGCCATGCTCGCGATGTTTACTTTATGGACACTCGTAAGGTGACGAAGCTTAGCGCTATACCCGCTCTGCAGATTCTTGGACGACTTGTACCGGTACAGTCGTCCTAAACAATTTCTGAAGAAATGTCTGCAAATTGATCACATCCCCGTACATCGCCGAAGCCATGGCAATGCACTCTGCTTCTGGCGTGGATCTTGCAACAGGAGATTGTTTCTTTGACTGCCAGAGAAACGGAAATCTTCTTGATCCGGTAGCGATCTGGACCACAATCCGGGCAACTGGCGAGATCAGCATCCGTGAACACGAGAAGCTCTGCCCGAGAGGTACCCAGCCTCATGAGCAGCCATGGCTGCTGGCCACTCTCAGCCGCCACGGCATCTCAAATGGAAGCGGGAAGCTCAGCAAGACCGAACCCAAGGCACCACACCTCGGCTTCCGCCTGCGACGCTAAGGCCACCAAGCGAGTGCCCCACTCCTTGCGAAAAAGGCTGGGTCGCCGTGCGATGTTTTGTGCCCACCCACACGGTATGATCAACTCTGACACCCAGCCAGCAAGAATTTTGCAGCCCAGAAGTAGCAGGCCGATGTAAATCGTCCACTGTCAAAAGGAGGACCAACCGCTAAGCCGCTAAGTTGGTTAGTCAACAGCACGTGCCAGATCCCTCGAGGCTTTACAGCTATGAGCAGACGTTTATGTTCTCAGAAAGCATTCTAGAAAAGCAAGCATGCCCATAAACGGTTTCGAATACAATGTGTATTTATACACACACACACACATATACACACACATCGCCACCAGCTCCAAGTTTTCCCCCCAGACAACCATCGCACCAGTGCTTGGTACCATGTCCCCGTAGCTGCATCCTGGGAGGCCATCCTTTGCAAAGGGATGTGTAGGCCAGTCTTGGGGGGGAGGTGTCAGATCGGTCCGCCCTGAACCCGTGGTCACAGGCAGTGAGTTTCCGTGACTGCAGGTGGAGTTCAACTGAGTGGAGCTGAACTACTAAAAAAAAACATCTATCTTGCAGGTTAACAAGCAGCATGCTAGCTCGGGGCGCCTCACGGCCCTCATTTTCCGCAGCTGTGTCACAGAAGCGACTACCCAATCCAGGGCTGGATGCCAGCTTCGAAAGCTCCAGAGATTGGCAGAGAGGAGCAAAATACTTTTGCTTCTGCTTTGACAAGGCCAAGCTCCGGCAAGCTTTCCCTACCAGAGCAACAGCTCAGACGTCACATGCCACCAAACCTCAAGACAACAGCAGCACGACCACAAAAAGACCAACAAAAAAAACTCTGATTCTGGCAATGAAGAAGTGCTGTGACAACAGAATCCGAGGCCAGTGCTTCATCAGCATGCCTTGTAGCCACTGAGAACTCTGCAGTAGCTTTGGATCTTGACTCCTGACAGCGCCCAAACACCCAAGAGGCATGCACAATTCAAAGCTTCGTGGCCTCACTGCCATCTGAACCAGCTGGCCAAGGAACGGGGCTTTGCCCACGTGTGCCGTCAGCCTTAAAAGAAAAACACAGCTCTTAGTTTTGGTATGGGCACACAGTGCCATGCGCAAAAAAAAAATCTCGGCAAGCAGGCTCGGTCTGGAAGACGAGAACCAAATCGCCGACCACCCCAACTGCCGCCTGCACCAGAATGAGGCTACACAGCTGATCGACAACAAAGGAACCATCAAAGAAAACGCAGAGCCTTGACAACGGGCGGCTGCCTTAAAGCATATGGGATTACATAGGGATGATATAGGGATTACATAGGGACTATATAGGGATTACCCAAGGGTCATACAGGGATCACATAGCGATTGTATAGGAACTACACAGGGATTGTGTAGGAATTACATAGCAATAATATGGGAATTACATAGGGATTATATAGGGATTACACAGGGATCATATTGGGATTACACAGGGGTTACATAGGGATTATACGATCCCAGGCCCCCAGAAGGTGCGCTGCAAAGCTGGAAGGCCCTGGCGTAGTTGGATCCTCGCTGATCTCCTTCACGAGCATGAGCACGGTGTTCACATGCTCCTGTTCACAAGACAAGGAGACTCATGAGTTTGAGAAGCTTGTTCTAGATGGGGTTTGAAAGCCGGCGCCTCAGTATGTACAAATCCTTACACTCGGGAACCATCAAAAGGGGATACTCAGTTCTTGGAAACCTCCATTTTGAGGAATCGGTTTCAGAATACAAGAGACCCCGAAGCCTATCATAGAAAGGCCACCAGCTTCAACGCCTAAAAAACGAGGGCCAAGCAAAGGGCCTTGAAGAGGTGCAGCTTGTTGGACTCCTTGAGACCGTGGATGATCCCCGAGTACCTCTTAAGAGAACCCCAAACCCTAAACCCTTAACGGCAGCCCAAGGACTCAGAGCCGCTGTTGGAGGCTTGAGAGGGTCACGGCTTTCAGGTTTAGGGTTGAGGGGCTTTCTCAACCCATCGGAAAATCTACGTCTGCCATGCGGCACGGCAAGGTTTACCGTTTAAGGTCTAGGGTTCGGATGGGGTCTCGGATGATGGAAAGAGCCAGCAGGCGCACGCTTCCAGAACCCCTTCTCGAAGGCTGTTCAGGTACCTGGCAATGTGCTTGTAAAGGATCCAGATGCTGTGTTGGGAGTGCATACCACGATTTCCTCCCTTGTGTTGGCTTGATCATGCTCTCACTGCATCTCCACAAGATGGGCACATGGGACTTCTTCTTGAGCTATGCTGGGAGAGCAACATGCCGGCACAGAGCCCTGGTATCGGACAAGGGCACTCGATCCACTCCTCGCTGTCTGCCGGACCGTCTGCCAACCTGCAGCTTAGACACTTGCAGCATCTTGCAGCGTATGAAGCGTGCATTGGAGAACCAATTGCATGCATGCCACACTCACATGCCAGGTGCCTGGTGGAGGAAGCCTCCCGGAGCATTTGAACGACTGGCCCAAGGTACCTTCACAGAACAGGGAGGAAACGCTTGCTTGCCTTCAGCCCTCAAGGAGCGTTGTGAGGGCACTGTTCAAAGTCTCCGGTTATGGCCATGGCGATGTCACCAAAGCTCGTCATCACAGCTGCCTTTACAATTTGCAAAATCACGAGCACGGCCGAACAAGGACTCGCTGCCTTGATCTTTCGATCCACAGCTGGATTCTTGAGATTGGTGTAGAGGATCTGCCAAGTTAGAAGGCTGATACAGCATGGTCTATGCACAAACAAGATTAAAGCCATATGAGCTGTAATCTAAACTCCTAGCATCTGCCTTAATAACCACTACAACACTCTATACAATCCCCTATAGATTCCCCTTTAACTTTAAGAAGTTTTGCCTATGGCTCCTATGCAGCACACCTGCAGGATGGTGTCACAATAGCTGACGATCTTGCCCTCCAACGCTGTGCAAAGGTCTCCCACCATGCGGGTGGTTGTCAGACAGACCTCGCCCAAAAAAAACACTAACTCTTCGTAGCAAAGCCAGCATAAAGAACAAACGAAGAAACTAGATGAGTTCCAGCTTAGCTGACTCATCGCTGTACTCTGGGAACATTTCGCTAGAACTAGAAATGCTTGCGTTGCTGAACGAGTACGAAGGGGGCTTCAAGCACGTATCCGTATAAGTTGTTTGAAAGCCTAAATAAGCGGAATTGCCAAAGATTACAATTTGTTTGCAACCGTCCATGAGTGCGAACTGCGGACCTGCACCTCCTCGTAATTCTGCAGGCCAACCTCGCTAGAAGATGCACAGCAAGGGAACCGGGAACCTCTTTTTCAGGCTCTTTCTCCCGGCTCGCCTGGCCTGGAGGTGTGGGGCGAAGTGAGGCATAAACCGTTCCTCAGAGAAGACTTCTGGCACTGAGTCCTTCCCAAACCCCCGGCGCTCATGCTGCCAAGCAGCGAAGCTCGAGCCGGCCGCGTTGGCCAAGGCCACGATGAGGAGCAGGGCCTTGGCAGAGCACAATGGCCACCAAAACGGCAACCCGCAAGCTAGATGCCTCCTCGTGTAGGACCTGCGCACCACCCCGAACCTGGCCAAAATGCTTCAGTTACTCAGATGATGTACGGTAGTCTCGCCAAAGAAGCGTGCCTGCTGGTAGGCGGAAATCACCTTCAAAGCCTCCTCCATGATCTGATTTGCTGCCGGAGCCACCTGTTCCCTGGCAACGAGAAGTCCATAAACAGACCAAAGAACCGTCAAAGGCGATCTCCCTGCCTCAGCCGTGACACCTGGACATCCAGTCAGGATACACCCTCTACTTGATATGATTTAGGCTCGTCTTGGGCAAGGACCAGCGAGGTAAGGACTCCGCAAATGTAGCCTTGCAACTCGCACTCGCGGTCGATGGACTCGGCACGGCAGGGCTTCTGCTTGAATGCAGCTGCACGCCTTCTCTGTCATCGTGCTTTTGACTCACAGGTGTACATCTAGGCTGGATCCCTTTCTCTGATCCCTTTACGCTGCCTCCATATTTGGACATTTCCTGGCCCCCTAAAGCTTTGAGGCTCTGGCCTTGTAAGAAGCCTGCAAGTGCTTCAGCATCTCCTGAGGGATGAAGGCAGTAATGATGCACAGGAGAGTATAAGAGCCGTGACAACATACTGAATGGCAATTGGTCATTCTGGAACTCATTAGGACTTGCAGTCAAAACACCTTGCTGCCAAATTTGCAATTTCATGATCTCTCTTTCCTTCTCTCTGTCTCTCCCTGTTCTTTGCTACAGTGCATCCGCTCCTGCGTCAATGCCTGCATGTGCGCCAGGCAATCATTGCCTGCCTTGCTGACCAGGACGCTAAGAGCGTTGTACCTGATCGGGCTATGCGCCAGAATCACATTGCCTTCTCTGCCAGGTCCTCAAGAGATCTTGATGTATCATGTCGGAGCATGTGTCTTTGACACGTGCTCCGACATGAGATGTACTCAAGCTTGTACCTCCCTTTGGAATCCCCGTGCATCCCTAGGGGCGCCTCACATTTGAGAAACCCCCATGGCCCAGCATAGAGGGCATGCTTCTGTGTAGTTAGAAGGCGCCGTGCACGGAGACAGCTGTGCCGAAGTAATGTACATAATCTACTCCCGGTCGAGGAAGGATAACAATAGAACTCGCACTTCGTAAGCAGCCAGAACAAAAGCGCACAGCCGATCAAGCACGAGACCCAGAAGATTCAAGAAAGGCGAAAAGTACTTTGATTCCAGCTCTGCTCTGAGTCACAGGCCCTGCCATGCGCAGCTGTCGCTCATCAGCATCTGGTCTCGCCACCACCTGGCAGATTTCTCAACTTTCTTCTTCTTGCTTGTCTCCGTCAGGCCCTGGAAGCCTCCAAGAGCGCAGTGGCAATCGCAGTGAAGAACTCCGACAGAGGCGTCGTTTCAGCGTACTGCAGCCAAAGATGGCTCCACAGACGAAGTACAAAGGAGGTTCTTCAAGGCACTGGTGGCCGTCCTGCCCAGCGATGCCGCCAGTCTGAGCCTCCGCCAGAACCTGACAGCCATTCATCCCTGATTCGGGTTAGCTCTGACCTTTTTGTCACCTGTCTTCTGAGTTTCTTCGTCCCTGCGCAAGATGCACTGCCAGGTGAAAACCACCACGGCCACCGAAGCCGACCTGATTTCAATCAGCCTTGGCGTAGGACTTCGGCCTCAATCTCCTCTCCATGCACCCCAACCAGGGCCCGATTTATAACTCACTGACCCAGTCATGGAGGAGAGTAGAGGCCGCACTGCATCTCATGGTGTATGTACACATGAAGCCTTTTTCAGCTCCAGTTCTACGAGCCATCACATGGCCATTTCACACATTCTGGTAGTTTGCTGTCGGAAAAACGATTGCTTCTCAAGCGGCTGAGCAGCGCCGAACTGCGAGTGCGGAGACAGGCCTGTGCCAGATGGCTTTGTACAAGGCCACAATTTGGGGCTCCAAGAATTTGGGATACCTACTTGTTTGGAGAAACTGCCAATGTTCATCTTACTACCCTCATCCGTGGCGCTGCACTCTTAAAGCGTATGAACACATCTAATGCAACTACCTGACCAGCATACCTATTCTGATTCCGAGCACGATGTGTTGTATGTGATAGCAAGTTCTATCAGGAAGCTTGGGGATCTCTGTCCATAGTTTTACTACCCAGTAGTATTGCAGACCGGCTATGATAGCTGTTAAGACTGTTCGCAGACTTGCAGCCTGACCACCCTCTTCCCGCGCAGAGGCGCTTCAACACCTGGGGCGGGCTTCTGCAACCTGAGCCATAGTCCAAACTCCTTGTATGCCCCTTCATAACCCTACTGTAGTCCCCTATATAGTGCCCGCCTGTAAAACCCCCCCTTTAAGGAGTGTAGACTATTGCTCACGTGTGCTTCGCAATGTCAAAAGAAAGGGGTGGGAAGCTGCTTCGGGTATCCTAAAGCCATTCCAATTATCGTATAGAAAGAAATGCGTGTAGCAAGTCAAAATAAAATAAAATCGAAACAATCAGTTCAGAGTCATATAGAAACCAGTTAGATCAGTAGAATCAAATGAGAGAGAAATAGATAGAAACATTAGCAAATAGAATTGTTGAGAGATCCAAATAAGCAAACAAATGAATAGAATAAGATATCAAAGATACTTTGAGATAGATAATATTTGCTGAGCTAAAGAACGAACGTGAGACAAATGGAGAAATATGGGAAGATGGGTTGTGACACAGGCCGAAAGTCGTCGACCAAGAACAAGAAGAACGAAAATCAAAGACGCACGACGTCAAGTCCTCAGATAGTGATAGTCAGTGTTAGTGCATGAAAGCCCGCCACCACCCGCCGATTATGCCCAGTGACTCAACATCCCGCAACCACCCGCAAAGAAGTCGACGAGGAGTGAGAACCAAAAATGAGGCTATCGAATCAAGCGAAACCTCCTCTGGATAGAACCCTGAAGCCCAAACACAGAAGGAAAGATGGCTCCAAAACAGAGGTGCCTCGAGGCCGTTGAAAGGCCGGGGAGGCCGAAGCCGGCCTGCACTAGATATACTCTAATACGTGTTGATTCGCTTTTCATCATGTACAACATTGCAGAAGACATCTTTTGTCGGTGCATCTTTTCAAGATGTGTGTGTTTGCAACTTGCATAATTTGGCTTCTTTTGAAAAAAGATGGATGCGCCGAGTGCCACGAAACCCGAGCCTGGCTGGTTTCTTCGCGCTCACGGGGGTTCGGCCCGAGAGGCCACCACCTAGCACTGACCACCCATGTTCTGTCTATTGTATTCTATTATAGTATGCTACATTCAGGTAATTTCTTATCGCATGCTACCATCACCACCGCTAAGAGAAGAAGAGACGAGGTTGGGGAGGCCTGCACTGCGCGGTCGTGCAGCAGCACCTGCGTGAAGTGCCTCCCCATGCAGCAAGCGGCCGCTGCCGTGCCGAGGCACGGCCCGCCGGCTTGCCTCAAGCTTCAGAAAGAAAGCCCAAGCAGTGTTCCGCCAAAGGTTATGCCTCTTCCATCTGCCGTTGGTCCCGCCTGAGCTGACAATTTGTCCACCGAAGAGCTGTTCAAGAATTGAGGGAGGCACAGTCGCATAGTGGAGGCATTGGCGCTCTTGGGACGTGGCCTTGCCCAGTGAACTTTCGACTGCGACGCGCGAGGAAATGCCGCATTCAGTCCCACCGCCTGCACGGCTCAGGGAAGCGGCGCTCGCTTCGCCCCTCGCACCTCACAGAAAGAACACAAGCGAGAAGAAAGTCGCGACAAATGGCAATGCTTCTGAGGCCTGTAGGGAATCTCTGGCTGAGAGGCCAGGCCCACTGGCTGATGGAGCCTTCAGCACAAGCAGACACTCTTCTAATCTTGAGTCTCCCAGTCTCCCAAGCAAGTTTTCTCTGCCCCGGGCGCCGGAGGAGGCTCAAATGGCATTGGCGGTGCCTTGACTGTAATGTGATACCAACCCTTGAGGAACGGCAAGGCACTGCAATCACCCACCCGCCTCGTTCGGCCTGTAGGCTGCCTTGCCATCTTGGCAATTTGTTAGAACAATTCACATCAAAGTCCACCCAACCTGCGCAGGCGGCGGAGGCATCACCGACGGCGGCAGCGGTGGGGGCAGAGAAGGCGGCAGCGGAGGCGGCAACAGGGGTGGCAGCGGAGGCAAGAGCACCTCCTTCAAGCGCAGCAGTTGCATTCACGAAACTGCAGCTGCATCCAACATGCGAGACTATTGTGGGTCGCATCTTGACTTTCATCCCTGGGCCCATCACTTCCAACCAAGCCTAGCTGGATTCAGTCTCACAAAGAAACAGATGAAAAACAGCAGCGCAGTCTCAGATTCTTCGACAGACTCCGGCTTTGGAGATTCTGGCTAGCTTGTTCTTGTTGGTAAGGGAGGCTTTTGAATCCACATGGATGTGGCCGAGCGGTAGTGAGATTTGCCTACCGGTAGTGCCGGACTTCTTGTTCCTCAACATCCTGTCATTTGCGGAGAAAAAGGCCTGCAAGCTTCCATGTTCTTAGGTTCAGGAAGGTTCAAAGGCTCAAGGCTTATAGGACTGCGATACAAAGGTATCACAGACCAACCAAAGAGCGCCGGAAGTAGCTCAACTGGCTGCAGCAGGACTAGGGAACTTGTGAGAAACCTGGGAGCGTCTTTGTCTCTCTGAAATTGAAAATGTCTCTGGGTCCAAAGAGCTTTTTTCCAAAAACATCTCGGATGTTGGATTCTCGTTTAGATTCAAAGCGGGGAGGCGTGAAGAGGAGGGTACGCTAGGCGGAGGATGCGCGATGAGGTGGGTACGCTAGGGGTACGGTAGGGCGCGATGAGGAGGGTACGTTAGGGGTACGGTTGGGCTACGGTCGTTAAGGGGGAGGTTCTAGCAGGGTTTCAAAGGGGGAGGGGCAATGACGAGGGCCTTCCTGGTGGCTTCCTCACAGTCACCGTTCAAAATGCGCTCCGGAACCGGGTAGCGCATTTTGGAGGCAGGACCGGCTGATGCTCATGATGCTGTCTTGGGGCCTTCCGGTGAACAAAAAGCGCTCGAGAAGGGGGTAGGGCATTTTGGACGCAAAATGCGCCCCGGAACGGGGTAAGGCATTTTGGAGGCAGTACCGGCTGACGCTCATGATGCTGGGCCTGCTGTCTTCCGGAGAAACGCGCGACGGAGGGGGTGCAGGGGGTCCGCAGGTTGATGCAGTAAGAGTCAGTACAGTAAGAGGGCACGCGAGAATTCTCCGGTGGGACAGGGGCGGGGAGGGGGTGTCGCAGTATAGGGATAAGGTGGGCGGGCTGCGGCGGGGTATGGGTGAGGTTGACAGATCGCATCGGGTCCTCCTACCGCAGGTTTAACGTGCTCAGCCTCCGGCTGCAAGCCATTCGGCCTTGATTGTGCTCCGGATTGTTTTTGGGTTCCTGGCTTGACCTTGTTTGAAATGGGAGACTGCAACTGGCAGGCACCTGCTGCCCCTTATCCGCATCCGGTGGAACGAAGGGCTCAGGAGCCTGCAACACAAGCACATTAGTATTAAAAAAAAGGCGGCCCTCTGCATGGGCGCCTGCAATACCAGACAAAGAGGGCGGCGACTGCTCTCAAGCTCCTGCTTGCGTGCTGTCGGGGTATAGATCGACACATCGAAACAACGAACTCTTCCGCTCCTCTTCCCCTAGCCCCATCTCTGCTCCCCACCTACTTCCGTCCACGACAAGGCCCATCCCTGTGCCTCTATCATCTCCTTCGCTGGGAAGCTCGGCCACTCCAGGCCTGCACACTTTTTCCGAAATCGAGAGATCTACAAAAGAAAGAGAATCCTTTGGAGTTTTTGGAGTTGGCTGGGCCAGGCGCGTCCGACCCGCAGCAGAAGGAAGCCACACCTGCGATTGGGGATCCAGGGATCGGGGACGATGCAGCTCTCTAATGCTCCCAGCCTCACACCGAAGGCCGCTGCTGGGCTGCAGGGCAGCACTCGCGATACCTGGCGTAGGGGAAGGCCCGCTGCTGCACGCGACCATGCCACGCGGACTGCCACACAGCTCCGTAGCAAAAAGTGCGTCGGTGCGGCTGCTGGAGGACCACTGCTGGAGCCAGCTGCCTAGAAGCAGATGGGGAAACATCTCCACCGGAGCCCACAAGCTGCACAACTCTGGTGGCCGAGGAGCGGCTACCCCCAGCAACGGTGCCCCTGGCTCCAGCACCACCTCCACGGACAGCGCCAAATTCAGAAACGCATGAAACACCACATAAGGACCATTGCAATCATTGCTTTGCTCACCGCTTGCATGAATTGACAACTTGGGAAATCTGAGAGGAACAAAATACAAATGTAGCAATAGTCTTGCTACTTGTTTACGTCATTACCTCAAGGTCGTGACATCATCCGCCTCCAGCCTTGTTCGCTCCCAAGGACGGCTTGCCACCTAGGTATCTCCAGGGATGGCACAAGCAGTAGTAACTGCAACAGCACTAAAGACATAATAGTACAATGATGTACTCGTAAGGGAAGAGTAGGTGAGTAATACTAAGCCAGAAATAGTTTGATGTGGCACTATCACAATATGACGATTAAATGGAACCGTCATATAATAATGTGATACAAGCATTACCAGCATATAGTCCCAACACCAAACCTAACAACAGTAAAATTAGCACAGTACTTGTATGCAGAGTGATGTACAATAGTAGTGTAGCCGTATAGCAGAATGATAAAGACATGGCCCCAGAATGATGAAACAGGGCTGCTATTCCTACTGTCTTGGCTTAGCTCTTTTACGAATCCCGGGTTTGGGTTTGGAAACTGACCAGTAACAAAAGGCCAGGACATGCTGGTGCCTTTGGCTTCTGCATCTACGATTTTATGATGAGCATGGTCACTACACTGCACTCAACACAACGCAACCTACTTGGGCTCCTACCCTGACACGGACAAAGCGGCGAAAGTCCTGAAGGCTCCTCAGCGCTTCTGCAGAACCCATTTGATGCATCTCTGCTCTGAAAAATGAGAATGCTGCCCTGTGTCAAGCAGCAGCTTCCTGTGAGGACACCAAATCACAGTGCAGTAAGCAACAAGCCGTAACAAGCGCTCACGGCCCTTTCTGTTGGGCCCTGTCCTGTTCCGAGATGGAGGTCGTTTTGACAGCAGTGCCTCGCGAAAGTAAGCTCAGCCGAACTTTCGTCGCAGTTTGCTCTCAGGCTTGCACGCGAGGCCCGGTTGCCACCTGCTTGCCAGGCTCCACCTGCTTCCTCACCTGTAAACATCATTAAACACGAAGCGGTAAGCAGCTGTCTGGGTGACACACATGCGCATCATGTGCATGAGAGGCCTCAGATGTTTGGAAGTCGGAGCCGGTCCCATCTTGCCTGGCTGTGATATGACAGGATGCTCTGAACCTACTGGTCCTGAGAGCTGGACACGGAGGCTTCCGCATATGCAAGGACGCTGCTCCTCACAAGCGGCATGCCGTGCATGTCAGCAAGGTCTCGTGGGTGTGGGTGTCCTCCGCTGCATGGCTAACTCCACGGCATCCGCCATGGAGCGCTTTCCCGCCCGTCGCGCCAGCCATCTTCTCGCTGCTCTTTGCAAAGGCACGGCCGCCGCATCTTGTATCAGCAGACTCTGAACGCGCTCACTTCGAAGGAACTTGGGGAGAAGCTTTACGAAGCCCAGGAGCAAAGTATTTACGCGGCGCTCGCAGCCGCGGAGCAAGTATTCCGCAAGGCCGTCGATCCTTGGGCGGACATCTGGTCTTTGGCAAGCCCGCAGGCTCAAACCAGCGAGGGCAAGCAAACATCCCTCCAGTAGCAAAGGCAGAGAGCGCCACTTGCTTCCCACCTCTAACATGGACCCATCCAATTGCGACTGCTCCAAGAAATGATCGCTGCTTGCTGTTGGAGGGCCAAGCTCCCGCAGAAAGCAGGGCCAAGGAGCTCCAGAAGCCTCGCAGGGTGCCCCCAGCTTGGCATCGCAAAAGTGCCGGCGAGCGCTGTTGTACCAGGAGCAGCAATCACGCGGCGTAAACGGGCAGCAGCTAAGGCCCCCGGGAAGCGGCTGTTCGCTGTAAGCCTCTCCAGGTGTTGCATGCGAGGGTATATCGAAAGGCGGATTGAAGAACCGCACACGCCGAAGCCGGTAATCCAACTTCATGTCGACTTGGAATAAGCAGTTTGGGGTTAGCGGGCACGGGTGCAATGAGAACGTCTTGTTCCCCCCTACGTCTTGATCTGGGTATCCATCCGGGTACTCAAATCCAGAAAGTACGCAGACTCCCTGCGCCACACTGGACAGCACAAGCAGATCCACGATCCCCACCAAGATGAGGATCGAGCCCGCTACCACAAGCAAAGCAGCGGTCAAGGAAGTGCAGCTGCGGCAGAATATACTCTGGGCTCTGCTGAGAAGCCTCCGCTTACCTTGGCGGCTGTAATACTTCAAGGCTGGTTTGCGTGGATGCTCCTGGGCTGAGGAGCCGGTACGCCGGCTCTGGGTGCTGTGGCGGCGCGTATGTTTCCAGAGTTCGGAGGACCGCCCAGAAGTCTTTGAGGAGCGATTCGAGGTCGAGACATCCGAGATGTACGGCGTGGAGGCCTGGCTTGAGCCGGAGCCGGAGGAAGCCGAGCCCACGATCTGTGGGGCTTTCTTTGGCTCTTGCTTAGGCTCTTGCTGTGCATTTGTAAAGGGACTGCCCTCGACCAAGGCAGGTGGGGCAATGGCTGGGATCATGGCTTCCGCAACTCGTCCGGCAGCGACATGTCGTCCTTCATGTCCTTCCTCCACTTGCCCATGGCTTACATGGCGTCGGCTATCTGCAGGGCACCTGGTCTAAGTACACTTCCTGAGCTTGGCGACACAATTCACAGTGAGCAGTGCTTTAGGCAGTGAATGCATGCAGTTGTCACACTCTTAGCAGAAGATGGCACCCACCTGTACGTTCCAGCAGATGTTGGCAGAGACCCGAGGGACATCTCGTAGCCTAGCCACTGCCAGCTCGGTCTCACTAAGCCCATCATGCCCATCTCACTCATCTTACAGATTCTTTCCCGGTATGAAAGATACGCGAACTGTTGTGGTACGTGATGCCAGCCTTTCGCAGAGAAGCGGCATAAGCTGCTTGACAGGAACGATGGCGGGGTGGAACCTAACACACTGTGCATGGAAAAATTGCCGCCTGCACGGGGCCATCCCCCAAGAATACATGGAAGTTTCTCAAAATGATGACTGACATCTGAGAAACTCCTGCAGACGGAGCTCAACAAGTAAGGGTCTCGCTGGGCAATGCGGCCCAAGGTCCATGCAATGGTGTCGCCTTCACATGCAAGCAAAGGGTCTTTAAAAACATGTGGCCCAAGGGATCTAATCTGTGGCGCCAGACGAACTGCGACACTCTGATCCTGCAACGCCTGGACCTGTTCCGTGCACTTGGCTTAGAATGCCTAGAAGGCAAAAAAACACAAAGCGTCAAGAAATGGCCAGGACCAAGAGGACATGAGAGGACCGAGGCAGCTGCAAGGTGGCTCAGGCTCTGCTCTACCATCGGTCTCATCTTTTCACTTGTCGGTCCCTCAGGGCAGGCAGATCTTTGTGTCCGGGCATGCGCACACTGCTTCATCTCACCAGTCCTCCATGATGGAGCCGTATGCCAAGACTGCAGCTTCTCTGAACCTGGAGGTCAAAGGCTTGACCAAGACATGCAGATGTAGCCTTCTATGTCTTGCCAAGGAGCTTCCAGTCCGGATTTTGGAAGTTGGCTTGAACAAACGTAAGCACCAGGTCAACGCATGCGTCCCTGACAACCTCACGGTTGGGCAAGGAGCTGACAGAACGCTTTCTGCAAACAGCTCTAAAAGGGGTGCCTGTGCCACGAGCGCAAGGCAGGTGCCTTGGGTGGAAAGAGACGTCACGGGCCATGCTTCAAGTTTTGTTTAAACTTTAAGCGCCTGCGGCCATGGCAAGGTTCCAGGTGTCATCGTCATCCTCGCTCTGACGCTTGGTGAGTGTCCTCAACAAACCAAGAGGATGAACTAAGGAATTCTCTGTACCTCTTCTCTGGGCCCGCGCTCGGTGAGGAGCGGCACCAGGAAAGGTAAGGCCTCAGAAAAGCCACATTCTAACAGACCCTGCCCCCGAGCCCTAGACTCTGCATCCCAGACCTGCTGAATCAGGTTCAGGGAGGCCCTCCCAGCTGCTTGGCCAGCTTCCACCAGATCCATCAAGTAGAGCTCCTGCATGTCAGATCTGCGTGATGAACATGGCTGATGAAGCTCTTTGCATTAAGCGAAACGCCTTTTACGCACAGCTCCCGCACTACGTAGTTTTGCTTCGAGGCGCGACATCAAGGCATGGACGTGAAGATTCTCACGGAGAGAAAAGGTAGGGAGCAGAGCATGGATGTGCAGGTTGAAGGTCAAAAGAGGTATGTGAAAACGGGCTCGTGTTCGCCCCATGAAGAACTCGGAAGGGCTTGCTAAATGGCGTCTAGCGGCACGCGCTCGGATCGCTCATATGCTTCTCGGTATGACGATACCGCAAGCTGTCATGGAAGTGTGACTCTAACAACTCAAAGTAGGGCATTTGGTACACACCAAGTATCGTCTCATCTGTCATCACATTGGCTTTTGTACAGGACTGTTGGTTGGCATGTGCTGGATTCATGGATTGGAAACGTTACCGCCAGCGTCTGCATTTCTTTATTGCATGCGATCCCTTTCTTGAGATCTATCAGTCGACCATGCTGTGCTGGACCATGGGTTGGACAAATCGCCCAATTGCTGGAAACTGCAGGTGCCTCTCTCTCTCTCTCTCTCGGCATGCCTTTCATGTGGCTTGCTTCAAAGCCAACTGGCAAACTGTGACTGTATGACATCGGTCAATCTGCTTGCTGGGCATTCACATCTTCAGACTTGATTTGCTGTTGCCTGGAATTGCCAGCCGACTGTTCAGGTGCTCGCATTCCACCACTTGGGCCATTCCACAGTCAACGATCTTGCTTCATATTGACGGTCTCTGAATCATACTGGTGGCAGTAGCTGTCTTGACACTGATCGAATTTCACAGAGTCATTGAAGCCACACGCACAATCCACAATCAGGAGGCGAATGCACTTTGGGGCATCTGCAACAGCGATAGGCAATTCAGAAATGCCGCATTGTCTGTCTGGGTGATCATGTGGAAAGGGGAACGCAAGCTTTTTGGACCGTGTCAAGTGACAGGCCCCTCCAAAAGAGACTCTCTTCGAACGGGGCAAGTGAAAACTGCAGTCACAATTTTCCACGGGTCATCTCCGCTAATTGCGCTCTGGACTCAAGGCTTGTCAGTTGATTTTTTGGACTTAGAAAGTCGTCCTCGTCGCAAATCGTGGACCAGAATTCCATGGCAGGAATTGCGACCTCATGACGACAGGCATCGGCTAATGTTCGAGACAGACCTCTTGAAAAAAAACAAGGAGAGCGCCTTTTCCGGAGATGCCTTGATGGTTTCCCATGTTAGCGGCCCAAGGCCGTTCATGTACCTGCTCGAGGCTCGACGAAAATGATTGTAACCTGGGACATTGCAACATGCCCACTGCAATGCAGGAGCACGGCATCAAGAACTCGTAGTACCTGCTGTCACATATCCGGAACTCCCCTAGAGCAAACACCAAGAAAGCATGCAAAGGCCGGCAGGTCACTCTGTTGCGATCTGCACAAGGCACTCGAATGCCGCAATCTGAACCTTCAGCGAAAATTGATCAGGGGAAACGAGTTCGTTCTTTGGATGGAAGACCTTGAAACTATCCCCTTTCACTTCGAAGGGGCGGTGAGGAATGGAGAGGCTTTCTGCAGATTGTCGTCGCCCATCTGACGCATGATCGTCGAGTCCACAGTGGCGGCTGACTCTGGCAACATTGGGATATGGCTTGGTACCGACTCGCCAGATCCCACTCCTACACTCCTATATGATGCCTAGCATACGTCGAACCTTGAAGCATGTTTTTGAGGGCCGTACTTCCGGCGCTGCAGCGAAGCGGCAGGTATCATTGACGACCTGCAAGGCTTGTATCACCCGCTTCGCAACCACGCGTTGAGGACATGATCAGCTAGAGCGCAACCTCATCGAGCATCATGACCCCAGCAAGTAAATTGTGCCAGGGATGCGCCCATGATGACGTCGCGCTCGACTTGGTTCTTAAAATTCCTGCACATGCAGAGATGAGCCGGGTCGCGACACAGCAAAATATGAGGTTCGCACTTCTTGGCCAGTACGACCGCATGGTAAAACGCCCTCGTCGCCTGGCTCTCAGAACACGACCGCACAATTTCTCATTGAAACATTGCCTATTCTCAGCATCAGTGAGTCAGAGTGTAATGGTGCCTCTAACTTCGTCTGTGGCTCTGCGTCTCGCATCCCCTGGACCACCTGAGCCGGGCCACAGACTTCCCAGAGGGCAACACCATGGCTTGGGGAACCAAAATGAAGTTCAGCTTGCTTCAAGCTGATGCCTTGCACTCGCCATGTAGGGTTCTGAATCGTTGCATCTAGACCAATTAGCACAGCTACCAGTCTCAGAATGTGAAAAGAAGGCCCTTGACTGCTGCACAGGAAGGGCCGCAAAACAGGACTGATACTGCATACAATCCTCCAGCAGGAGAAAAGAGGCATCCTGGAGACCATCACTGGAAATGCTCAGCACGCCAAGGACTATCGGCCAAACTCAGGACATACTGCCAGCAGGCCGCGGGAAAAGTGGAGAAAAAAACCGGGGAAAAACCTCACTTTACAGACGGACGGCCAGAAGGCCGTCACGCTGCGGGCGGCAGTGTCGCATGTAAGGAGCTGCTCTTTCAGGGGTCGTGGAAAGCTGCCTCAGCCTCCGCCCCGTCACCCCCAGCTAGTCTTGGCAAGTGACAATACAATACTAATCGACAATTTGACTAAGCACAATCCAGGAGTGGATGTGCCAGAGTCTGCTAGCGATCCTGACTGATGGTTTGGACGAGTGTGTGCTCAATGCTGAAAGATGCCATCTGTTTACATGACCATTTCACCTGCCAACACATAGACCAGCTAGCAGCAAGGTATGAATCTGCTCAATGATTGATTGAGTGATGCCTGTGAGCAGCAGTGATCTGATGCATGGCAAGTCACAGCTGTCAGGATGTTGTTGGCAATATCGTCGCTGATATTGGTCCCCTCCTGAAGCATGTCCTGAAATGTAAAGATTATTTGTAGCCATTTGGACCCACAAACGAGGCACACAAAAACTCCTCCTGCACGAGCACCAGGTCTTCGCACAGATAGCCCAGGCAGACCAGGGAGATCTGGCAGATAACCAGAATCATCGAGCTTCTCAAAGGCAGCGCTTCGTGCACCCTTGTCATCCGGCCTGTCTGGCTCTAACATCGGTGTTGGTTACATGACCCAGCAGCAAAGGTACCTGCGCAACAGATGCGACGTGCTCACAGAACACTGAACTCGGAACTCCTGAGCCTGAACCCCAGACCCTCTAATCATGAGATCCCTTGTCTGCCTACATAGAATATCTGCCACTACTACACATACTGGCATCAACATTTTTACCCCTATCGAAAATTACTGCGGTTATTGTTATTACAAAATAACGATTATTGCCTTTATTGCGCTTATTACGAGTAGTACTATGATTATGATCATTACCAGTACTACAAGGACTGTTCTTGCTCTTATTTCTTAATGTCCATTATTTCTATATAAATATATATATATAACACCTATAAACGCAGTAAATAACCACTTTGTATAACCCTGTATGACCCCTATATAGTCCCTATATAACGTTGTGACAGTAACAAGCCGTTGTATCGAGCCCTTCAATAGGCGGCACCAAGCCAGGCCATTGCGCAGGAGGTATTTCGATGGCACCGATTTTGGCCAATACCTGACAAATGCGGGATTGGGACCTTCAGGATATCTTCTTGGAAGTAGCAACATGTTTTTCAGGGCTGGGGGTTTTGAGGGTGCCGGTTTTTTGAGTTGCTGGGGATCTCTGAACACAAGCCTCCCCCAACTGCAGCCGATCGCCCTTCAATATAAAGCTTCGAGCGCAGGCCTGCGCGGCTGCCTTGCCGACATCGGTCTGGGGGCTGATCAGCGCCGAGGTTGTGGCCTCGAACATGAAACGAATGTCGCACACATGCCGAAAGCTGCCAAAAATTTGTGGCCTCCTTGACCAAATTCCGGCTCGCAACTGGCCTGATGCCATTCTGCCCGCAAAAAAGCGCCGCTCCGAAACAAGCGTGGGGTTCCGAAGCATGCGGAAGAATCTTCGGCTACACACTTGTGGGCGGCGGACAGGTTCGCCCATCTGGTTTTCAGGTCGCGGTCTTTCGCAGGATCCTGCAAAGGACAAGACTGCGCAGCCTGAGGTCCAACAGCTGGTGCACGCCTTCGAAGCCAAGGCGTTCTTCAGTAGAAGTCCTGGCGGGAAGGCGATAGAAACAACAGCAAGGCAGGAACAGCAGTCATACCAGCAGCAACAACACTGACATTGTGAAACATTGCCAGTCGGATTCTACCGCACGCCAGCACCCCAAATTCTTTCATCAAGCACTCACTAGTCCAAGATGACTTCCAGCCCGCCAGCCCCAAACGGCCCTGAGGCTTCATTGGAAAAGGACCCAAGAGGAAGACAAAGAAAGCCACTAGACCAGCGACACTGCTGCGACAGCGACGCCGACTACTACAAACACTTGGTAGCAAGAGCATGCAGGCCGTGTCTCCTGCCAGTTGCCGAGCAACTACTGGTTTCTCAGTGTTGGCCAGCTCCTGGAAATCTCAACCCTCAGGGAAGGCAATGGTTGGCGAAATCTTCCGACGCTACTTACTGGCTAAATCTGAAGGTCCTGCGCAAGGGCTGTGAAGTACCTCAGGCTTCAGGGTCTACGTGCCAAATGGCCCGGACTACCCATTTCGAGTGCAGGCAGAGGCATGTTGCATTGTCTGAGGTGCGTGCTGATCGACACTGGCCTGTTCAGCCTGCAGAACTGAAAGCTCCAAGCTTTAGTTTCTCGCCATCTAGGGTTGCACGAGTAACCTGTCGAATCTGTGCTTCTGCTTGCGCATTCTTGGACGGGTCCTGCCAGCACCAAAGGGTGAAAGTAGGGTGACATTTACCCACTGCTACACACAATCTCGGCTGTCCAAGGTCGCCAGCAGTAGCTCTGTGAGACTCATGGCAACCTGTCGGTGTCGAGCGCATGACGAAAAAATAACGTCGTGTAGGCCCTCTCCTACTCCAAGACTGCTTAACACAGCAGAGGCTGGGGGGCTTTCCAGAACTGAGGATGCCACGTGGCTTCCACGAGGCGGACTTCCGCGCTCTCTACAGATACATGCTAGGGGAGGCTGTGAGGGGTGCTGGTGAAGGTATGAGGGTGAGAGATGTGAGGGGTGCTGGTGTGGGGAGTGTAGTGCTGGGGTGAGGCGGTGGGGTGAGGCGGTGGGGTGAGGGGTTGGGTGCGGGGCTGGTGGGGCTGGTGGGGCTGGGGTGAGGCGGTAGGGTGAAGGGATGGTGTTGTGCAGTGTCTTGGGTGAAGTTGCACGCCGGGCTGCAATATGTTTTCCACACACTGCCCGCGCAGGGACAAAAATGAGCCAAAAACTTGCAGCGATGGCGATGCCACATCACAGGAGGCTGCTGGCCACGGTGCTCCAGGAGGACATGGAGGTGCGCCGGTGCTTTTGTTTCTCCTTCGCATCGCTGGCCTTGCAGGATCCTTCAGCGATCACAGGTCGGACATCACGATCTTCTTCTGAGCGGAAGGTAGGCAGCTCATCATGTCAATGTGCTTTGATGTGCTGAGACAGGAGGTTGCCCAAGGATCCAATATGATCCAATTGATGGCCAAAATGGTTCAGTGGCTTGGGTTCCCGGCCTTGCCGGACGGCTGAACCTGGACTTCTTGGCCTTGACAGAAGCAATGATTACTATTCACGTTTGCAAACAAACAGATTCTGTGTCCTGCCTCTGCCCTCTGCTCGAAGTCGTCGAGGAGCTGGCCAGGAAACACACAAGGGAAAGCTTCAATACCAGCGTCCTGTGTGTACCATGCAATGTTGCCAACCAAACTGGGCACCGCAATAGCAGTGGCGGGAAGGCCTTCCTGCTCAGCTGGCTTCCTCAGGAGCTTCCACATGAATCTGAAACCACTGGCGAAAGACTTTTCCCACTCAAACAATTGAAAACATATATGTTCCCAATTGGTTCCTGCTTTCTCCCGTCTTCTTTCGACACTTCAAGGCTAAGCTTCCAACAAATCCAGCTCACCTGCTCCACGGGGCTTGACCCATGGGAAAAGGGAATTGCTGTAACACATATTAGCTGTAGAATCACGATATACTTTTAGATGGAATAGTTTCCATCTGCTTTCAACATCCGCTGTTCATAGACTAAAGGCTCAGTGGCATTTTCGAACCTTCAAGTACTGAATAGCAGTGAGCATGTTCGGCTCCTTGCTTGCAGCACTCCTCAATTTTGAAACCCATTGCCCCTTGGCCTTCAAGCCGCCTTCTTTTGCGCCGTCGAGGGGGTGGTGCACCTGTGCTGGAAACCCTCGAGGCTTGAAGATTTCAGGGTTCATGCTGTGATACCGCAAGCGCGCTCTTGTAGTCTCTTGACGACTTTCTGTCATTGCCGCAATAAAACTAATCCGAGGGATCTTGGAGCATGAACTCAAAATGACATATAGCGAGATGACACTACAATCAAGAGGTAAGAGTGTTTTCTTTCTTTTTTTGTTGTCTGGTCTTTTTTGTTGTTTGAGCTTTTCGG